GCACGTCTTGTAGCATCGAGGTTACAGTATTTGATAGTGCCAGATTTACAATTCTCAAAAATCAAGAGTAGCATGAAGCACATGCTAACTTGGAGTTTATCTTCAAAATGCATGTTAGTCTAGAAATTGAGACGATCTATTGTATCTCGGAGGCGTTTAACCAATTTGGTTAGACGCTGATTCTGATATTACTGACTTACTACTACCCAAATTTGGTGCACGAGTTCTATGCCAATATTGTTAACAAAGCCAGTCATAGTGGAGAATTGGTGGACTCTTGGGTGCGCAGTATACGAATTTACTTGACCCGTGATCTTATTGCTCGCATTTTAGGTTGCAACAACATAGGGAAGGTAGTTGATTTGAAAAAGGGGTTTGTTCCTCCAAACAAGAAGTGGGATCCCTCTCATGGTATATCCCATTTTGGTCTCGAGTACCAGTCTTTCCGTTCTTCTAGAAAGGAGACGATGGTTTCTAGCATCTTCAACCCTTGCCATCACCTCAACATATATATGATGGCGCACAATGTTATCCCCAAGAAGACTGGCCTTACAGAGGTCCAAAAGAGTGACATTTACTTCTTAGATTATATGTTTCACAATCGGAAGTCCTCTTACACTCGCATTCCGCTACCGAATATATCATCAGTCACATAAGGTCAACAGTGAGATGACAAACTACTTCTTTCAAACTAGCATTTCCTTTTCTTTTATCTTTGATGTTCAAGCGGGAGGGAGTTAACTTACAGGGTGTAGCTCATGAGTTCGTTCGGTCCAAAACCGAGTTATCGATTTCTTCATTTTGTGCCATGAGCATTGGTACTAAGCACATCCCTCAACCTACTCATGAAAGGAGACAAAAAGCCTGTCATGGCCAAGTTGAAGTCGAACCTTCCACTACTGCTCCACCTCCTCCACCACATCAATCGAATTGGCAGCAGCTCTTTACTCGTTTGGATGACATCGAATATCAGTTGGAACGGATGGACACTCGGTTGGAGCTGATTGAATATCACTTGGGCATTCCTCCACCTCACGATGGCAATGAAAACGAAGCTGATGATTGAAGATGCACCTTTGGACGACTCTTGTTTTTGCTTCCTTGTTTTCTTGTCGCTTTCTTTTCATCTTTAGTTTGTAGGATGTTTAACTCGCACTTATCATTTTGCATTTGGGACTTGTGGCAGTTTTAGTAGATATTGGTCATAGATTCGTCGATAACTCATGACTCATGCTCGAACTGGATTTATGCCATTAAATTGGGGAGTAACTCGTTCTTATTTTTATTTTCTTTTCCTATACATTGAGGACAATATGTATGTTAAGTGTGGGAGAGGGAATAGGTTAAATAGAGTTGCTTGTGTGCTTATATGATTTGAATGGTTGGACTTGATATTGAAAATATTTCTTGTGCTTTAATTTGTTCAAACTTGGGTTTGTTGGCAAGGAGTTTAGTTCATTTATAAGGAGAAACTCTGCCAAAATTTTTTTAAAATCTTATCCAAAATTATAAAAATACCCCAAAAAGGTTTCAAATTTTTTCAATTTTATTCCAAGGGGTGATAAGTTCCATATCATTAGTAACTCAAATTCCTTCTACTTTTGAGATAAATATATGTGGTTTGAAAACTTTTTTTCTCATTTAACTTGGAAATAACTATTATGTAATTATAATTTGTGCATTTGTAGGAAAGTATATCGTGTAAAGTGGAGTATATCGTGTAAAGTGGAAATAATTATGTCCAAATGTTGCATGTTTGATGAAATTTCTTCTCTATACTTGATTTTATAGATTAAGTAATAAATATGGTCAATAAGTGTAATACTCTTCTCATGATTATTCTTTTAAGGGAATAATTATTATCTTTATTTTGAAAAAAAATAAAAACAAAAAAATAAACAAAAGAAAAAAAAGAAAAAAAGAGAATAAGATTTGTTCTACTCCAATGGTTCTTGTACTTAGTAACCAGAAGTTTTCATCTACAAATGTCGACTTTTGCGTGAAATAATACTTGAATTAAGAGTACGTAAAACAACTCGAGTATGTGAAGTGTTGAATAACTGACGATCTTATCTAAAAATGTTGATCTTCGCGTCAAAAGGCACTTTCACAACTTGAATAATATTTAACTATGATATATGAATAAATCTCTCTTTAAATATGAATAAGAAGATGATCATGGGTTTAGGAAACATTTTATTGACCATATGACTTACTTACTTATGAAATTGGGAAAGGATGAGAAATTGACTTGAACTTGTTATAATTACGGTATAATTGGCTCTTCTTTATTTGATATTATGAGTACTTGAGTTTGGTTGAGTGATTACATAATCGTTAATTACCTTGTTTGGGAGAAATGAAGTTGAATGGTGCACATATATTTATTTTCAAAATTTTGGATCATTATTGGTTTGTATTTCTAATTGCTTGAGAACAAGCAATAGTGTTTTAAACGTGTTTTATTAATTAATTTTGGTGTGTTTATTTACTTTTATAGTTAATTAACCAAGTTTCTAGTAAAAAATGCATATTGTGGTTTAAAGTGTAAATATTGTATTCCTATGGATTTTAATGTGAAAACTTCATGTTTTTGTAGGTTTAATGATTCAATTATCAAATGGAGTAAGTTGAGAAGATAATTGGATGATTGATAATGGTTTGAAGTGATAAAAAGAGAATATGAAGTGCAAGGGATGAAATGCAATTAAAGGAAGTTTTCCATCTTTGACACCTTGTGGTATTTTGACTATATCTTGAGTTAAAAGTATTGGATTGAGGTGATTCTTTTACTATTTTGAAGCTAAGATATAGATCTACATTTTATATGAGACATCAAAGTCCAGTTTAGTCATTTTCCTAGTCAAAAACTCGAAATACATAAGTGCATTTTCATTGTCGAAAGCTGAAATAGAGTTCTGACCATTCGAAAGTATTTTGGTCATTTATCAACCCACACATCTCCAAATTGGATGATTCTTTATGCATTGGAAAACTAGCTTAAAGGGCTACAACTTTCTTGTTTTGCACAAGAGTTAGTTCAGTCTTCATCATTGAGAAAATATCAGTTGAAAATTGGACAAAAAATAGAGCAAGAATGAATTCTGCCCAGAAAGTGCAAACTTGTAAAGGAAAAAAATGTAGATCGCGTATTCGAAGTTGCGTATTCTAGTTTTTCTGCTGCAACTTACTCTGCAACTTGTTTTGCATTCACACAACTTTTCCAACTCATCTACAATTTAGAATTTCGGCTGCATCTGACTAAGAAGAGTGTGGAAATTTGGAGAACAACTCTTGGTGAGTTCAAAAGCCAATTTTGCCAACCAAGAAACAACTCATCTTAAGCTTGAATTCTCTATAAATAGCAGCCTTTGGAGACCATTTTTACAACTTTGGAAGACTAGAGAAACTCACCAAAAATGTAGTCTTCACTAGAATTCTTTAGTTCATTAGTTAGGGTATAGTGTAGATTATTCATCCCGTATTTGTAGTTAGATTTGGATGAAGATTTGAAGAGTAAAGATGGAGAGTTTGAAGCTCATGTGACAAGGCTGACTTCTCTCCTATCACTTTTTCTTTTGTATTTGATTTCATGTTTAACTATAATACAAGTTTGGATCTTGTCCTTTATGTTTTGCTAAAGTTTATACCTAGAGTTATGGATGAATTTTTTATATCTTGCTAGTAATGTTTACTTGGTTATTTGATAATATTATTTTGAGTAAGTTATTTATCACTTTTGCTAGTCTAATTACAATTAACCGGTCATTAATTGTGATAATCTTAAGGTGTTAAGTTTGTAATGAAAATTAGAACTTAACACTAGTTCAAGGAAGTAATAAACTTAGGAACTATACTCACGAGAGTAGAGGTGCACCTTTGTAGATTTGGTGACTCGTTTCATGTAATTTCATAGAAGAAATGAACTTGCAGTTAATTTCATAACTACAAGAGTAGGTATGGCTTAATTTCTTTTAGACAGGTTTCTTGTTTTGTGTACAAGTAATTAGTTTCCTAACTGTTTAGTTACTTGGAGTAGTTGCCAAGCTATTTCCTATTTTGTATTTGTTTAGGTATTAGGAATTATTTCTTATTCCGTATGAGATTAGGAATTAGCAATTATTTTCTATTATTGCTTGGATGTTAACAAGTATTGTAGCTTATAAATATGTGAGGGTTGGTATACTACAAAGTGGCACACAAGAGACACACAAGAGTGACATGTAACCTTATACATGGGATGAGAAAGGATTTTTGGGAGATGAAAAATGGTATATAAAGGGTTAGGAATAATTGCTAATTCCTAATCTCATACGGATTATGAAATAATTTTGTAGAGTCATGAATTTCTCTCCGTGGATGTAGAGTTAATGTTGGAGTTGAATGCGTTAAATTTTGTGTGTCGTTTATCTTTCATGCTTGTGACTTTTTTATTATTAAATTATTATGTACTTGATATCTTAATAGTGATTTGCTCCGCGCTTGGATCCCGACAACATTTGACTTAGTAGCTTAGACAAGCTATATACCATTTTATCATTTTGAGGATCTGAGGCACTGCCTTTAAAAGTTAACCTGACTAAAAAGAAAGGTAATCTGTTGCAGGCTTGCAGCAAAGTATGAAATCCATGACGATCAAGGGAAGTTGCACATTTCCACTGTTAATTGCAGAGAAAATCAACTGTCAGTAGACAGCGCAATCAATCACTAGGTCTTCTTCAACGAAATGGGGTCCAAGATAGTGTTAGTACTTGACACTTGGTAAAACATTCAACCATTTTCCCGTCATATTCTAGTAACGCAGCTCCAAGCAGATTACCGGAATTAGCTACTAAATTGTGCTTAGATTCAATGGTGTTTTCAAACAGATTTGAACATCGTGTTGTGGGGTTTGTGCATTATCATAAGATCTATTATGCAAAATTTCAACAGAGATCATAGGAACCACAAATTGATCTAATAAAGTCGCATGAAAAAAGAAAAATGACGAAAGTTATGACTTAGTGATCAGATGCTTTTGAAGTTGAAGGATTAAAGGTATTGTTTTCAACTACAATAATCTCATCTGGCCTGATGCCTCTTCCCTTCAGGAAATTGGAGTACCAATGTGCAGAGAGCTTTGGGTATCTTCTCAATTGCTTGTCATCCAAATCGACGTAGTACAGGCCATAAGCTGTCTGATAGCCTCCCAGAAACTCTAAGCCATCTATGAAAGACCATACAAAGTAGCCTTTTGTGTTCGATCCGTTTCTTCCGAAATTTCAAGATGAAGCACCAAAACAAATCAGGAACATTAAGAAGAAAAAAAATAGAGAAAAAGAAAGAGTCATTTATGCAGTAAGTCATAAAGCTAAAAGCATTAGACATTTAGACAGAACATGCAAAAAACACACAAGTAGATATTACATATGTGCACATGCTTACTTTATAGCATCAAGCAAGGTCCCAATACATGAACGCATATACTTCACCCTTGGTGTGTCGATTAGTGTTCCATTGCGCTTGGTTGATTTACCTATCAAAACCAATCACCCAAAAGATTCTAAAACTTTTTGCGATCGTGGTTAGAGAGAGAGAGAGAGAGAGAGGGAGAGATGAGCTACATATGTTCAAGAAACTTCTGATCATAATTTGATCAGATGAGAATTACAAATTAAAGCAGAGCTAAGCAGCAAGGGAAGAAAAACCAGACTGGAGTCTAGAAGAGCTCTGCACGTTAGGTGGCTGAACCTTAGAGTTTTGGCTGTTGCAACCATGCAAACATAATCCAAAAGAAAATGAAAAATTCTCAAGCATCGCATTCGATTAAGTTGGCAGATTTCTGGTTAAAGTAAATTGCTCCATTTCTCATTGTTGGCCAAAAAAGGCCAGATGCTGCACCATGTTAAGCATTTGGCTGAATCAGGACAATAGGACAGCTACAAAAAGAAGTCTCAGGTATCCATGCAAAGTAAAAGAGGCAAATATGCTTCGATCTGTACATTGATGTGTTTGTATGTGTAAGAGGGAGAGAGAAAGAGAGAGAGCAAACCATTTTCTTGGACATAAATAGGTGGATTGGCATAAACTTTCTTGATATACTCCAGAAGTGGAAAAAGATCGGATGATTCAAGTACATTCTGTTCCAAACAAGAAAGTTAATAATAGTGATCGAAAATGATGGACAGAATATCATGAAATTAAATTCTTAACCCCACTTGATTCGATGGTGCGTCTTCTGGCTCAACTGAAGAAACCGAAAATAGGTACAGAAATTAGTTCAATTCAAACACAAAATATATATGTCCACAAAAGTCATAAAAGAGTTGTAGATTTTGGGAAAATGAGAAGCATTAAGGATGCTTAAGATGAAACTAAGTCCGTACACAAGTTCTCGTAGAACTAACATACAGAGGACAGGCACAATGGCTTAGCAAAAATATAGGGATGGTTGATTAACTAGGCAATAGCAAATTCAATGAGCAAAGAGTAATTAAAGCTCAAAAAAAATGAGTACATACAGAAGATGCTTAGCGCCATATCAGCAGTCATGTCCCTGATATTCATAGTAAGGCTGCCAGGATTGTCCCTGACATAGAATGTGAAATAATAATTCAGCGCTATAAAGTCAAATGAGCCCTTAATTAGCTTAGATTCGCGGGGAGTAAATGCTGGAATCCTCTTGCCAGCATTCTTCTTTACAATGTCAGGATAGTCTCCAAACACCAATGAATGGAGGAACCTGCAGAGGAATCGTGGATAAACCTTAAGATATGCTTATCTTTTTGCTTCAGGTAGCAAAGCAAGATAGCATCTTGCTATTTGTTAGGGACGATTAAATGCAAAGGTACTTATCTACCAAAGATTCATTACTCACCAACCAATATAAAAATCAAATGCTCTTTGAGTTGCAAATACATCTTCAGTAGTATTAGAATATGGAGAAAACCAAGGAGCAAAGATGTTTAGTCCCACAAAACCATGTTGAATGGCCTGCGCAGCACACAAATTTTCGTTAGTTAACTTACTTCCCATAATGTTTCCCCAGAAGCAAAGATCAATAAAAAGAACTACCAATAAGAATTTTAAAGAGAAATATTTAATGTCTTATAGTGCTGTTCTTCCTGAGCAGATTCAAGGTGGGAAGTCATTAATTCAGGCTGCATCACACCCCATAAGTCATTAGGAGTGGGAAAAGGGGGCTTACCCATAGGATTGCCTTTCCATTCCCACGCTATATATTAAGCTACACTTCATGCCAATCCCTAATGGCCACCTGTACAGTACTTGATCTCTATTCCAAAATATTCTTCTCTTCCAGTTCAAGCAAGCGCTGGGAGCACTTGCAACCAGGTTCTTTTCTACGAGACAAATGAATATTGGCATTCCAACTTAAAGTAAATCGTTATATCCATCATTGAAACCAAAATTTGTCACAAGTATGATTTTAACCGCAACTCTTCCAATGCAAATCACTAGATAAGATTCAGAATGTAGCACAAATTACTCAAGACAGCCACCAGACAAGGATTCTACTACTTGGTATACTATGAGAAGTAGAATAAATGCATTGCATAACGTAAATGTTAAAAATTTTAACTACGAAAGCAAATTCTAGCTGCAACACTTTTTTTGTACAGGTTCAACTAACTTTGTGCAATCATCTCGAGCATTTCCAGTTAACACCACTAACACTTTGTAGTTCTTCCATCTGTGACTACTAGGTAGGAGTCACCTCAGTAGATGCAGAGATGTATATGGTTGGATCATGAATCTTTGAAAAACCAAGAGTTTAGTAAGATCACTGTGATAAATCAAGTTTTCAATCACTGTAGTAGAACTATCAAGGTAGAAAACACCAGATTACGTGAGAAAATTATAAAATAAGACATTTTAGCAATACCTTATACTTTCTGTAATATAGTTTCACGACAGATGAATGTGCCAGCAACAAGTTATGACCAGCAATGTATGGCTCAATTGACGAATTACCCTCGGTACACATCAGTCCAAAAGGCAGAGAGCAGCGCCCTGGGGGAATAATTCCGGTATCATAACCAGCAATGGCAATCATATTGGCCTCATTTAAGGTAGTCCAATGCAAAACCCTGTCTCCAAATTCCTTAAAGCATACATCAGCATAGGCAGTAAAGTCTTTCCTGAAGTCATAAACGAATGATGGTATAAATACGAATTATGGTTTAAATTTAATCATGCAATAACCAAATGTACTTCACAATGCATACCGTGTATATAACAAGCTTAAAAGTGAATGGATCAAAATGACAAATATCAAATGCTTACACCATTTTTTGACTGAGCCATCCCCCATATTCATCTTCAAGAACTTGAGGGGCATCAAAGTGAAAGAGCGTGACATGTGGTTGAATTCCTGTTTGTATCATCAGAGAGCTAATATAATCAGACAAAAACGCATTAAGATGAAATGATACTTGGATAGATCGATCTTCAACAGTGTTCAGGAAGTTTAAATGTACGATTGGGATTTGATTCAGTATCATCTCATTTCTGAAGTTTAACTGTAAACTAGAGACTTGATTCAGTGCTTAGTTATTAAACAAAAAAACTTACCATGCATGAGAAGTTCATTGATGAGATTGTTGTAATATTCTAAGCCTTTGGGGTTGACATGGCCTCTTCCATCTGAAAAGAGAGAAAAAAAACCAAGTTTGAGAAGAAAGAAATAAAATGTGTAGTGGTCTTATATAAGTTAATGGTAATACAATAGCACTATACATACTAGGAATAAGTCTTGACCAGGAAATAGAGAATCTGTAAGCCTCCAAACCTATGTCAACCATGTGTTGGACATCTTCCTGAAACAGATAAATTTCCTAAAGTGAACCGCATCCTAATTATATGAAGATTCAATTAGCAGGCTACTGAGGTCAAAATATCTAATAATGTACTATCTCTTAACCAGCAAATATATTCAAAGAGCAGGCTACAGAATTGAGTTGTACGGCAGAATGTTTAGAGATACTGCTGGATGGATCAAGAAAGGCCTGAGGCCGTGAATATTTAGTCTGATAACTAGTTATAACAGTAGCTGCTGATAGAGGCAGCAGGTTGTTTATTTTTTTGTATAAGTTTGTTTTTGGTTGCATAATTTTCTAACATAATGTGGAGCTATGCTGCTGGTTATTTTTTTACTGATTATCAGTAAAACAACTATAGAATGGCCTAAAGATTGCAGTTAGTAGTTTGCAATTGTAATATTGAAGACAGAAGACCAGTGTTTACCAAGCAAGTCAGAAAGATGAGAACTGTTTTAGATTTCTGTCCTCAGTTTGGTAGGAAGAGGGGAAAATAAGAGAGATAAGAACTTGATTTATGTTCTAATACTTGTAGTAATTACTTTTGTTATAAACATCTACAATAAAATCATCTTGATTTTTCGGAATTAATTGTTACAATCTGCTGCTAGCTGCAATAATTGAATCACTTAAAGCTTCTATGCTCAAAGTTTACTACTACACAAATCACTTTCATGCATGATCATTTACTATCTACAACCACAAAAATCATCTGATTGAGGATCAAATTCGTGGAAGGTAAAACAAATATCTAATCCTCTCTTAATTAGCCTCACAATTTGGGGGATCAGATATCTTAGCAATTGATAGTACCAATTGTTTGAGAGAGTGTAGAAACTAAGACAATAACGAAGCTGATCTTAGTACAGTAAGTGTAGATACTAATACAACAAGGACGTATACATGCAGTGATCACCCTCAAGTCCTACGGAGTTGTGAATCTTTTCAAATTTTCAGTCTCCACTACATAAAATTTGTTTTGATATATAATAACCATTAACTGTCTCCAGCAAAAGTGAACCCCAATTTGGGAATCATTCCTTTTTGCTAAGATTTGCTAATGATGGTGCAATTTCATCAATATATGCCAGAAAGCCAAAAGGCAGGAAAGAAATGTGTACCTTGTATTTGTGATACTGATCACATGCTACGTCTCCTGTGTCTCCATTAAAAAACCCTGAAAATTTTATTCAACAGTAGAGCTTACTGGTGGGAAAAAAAAAAAAGACTAGAGCAAAAAAATATTTATTTCAAGAAAACTCACCTTTATTGGCATGGACAAAGGTATCCCAAATGCTAGGAGTCCTTCCATCTTCAAGAGCTGCCCCCTCTACCTATGTATATGTCTATGATTATTAATCTGTTATATGTATATCACTGTTATGTATATAATCATGTGCAAGAAAAAGAAAACAGAGAGAGTACTGACTTGATATGCAGAAGCGCCAGCGCCAAAAACAAAGTCAGCTGGGAAGTCTGATCTTGTATAGTTCTTCACTCTGGCTACCACCATTATAGCCTGACATTGTAACAACGTTAGCACCACTAGTACTAGAATCAGAGGAGCAGAAGCATGCGTAAGACTCCTATGTTTCTGTCTCCACATGGGTGTCTAAATTTGTAGAGCTTTTTTATCTGCTATTTCTATGTTATTGATGGCTTTCATTCATTTCCATTGATGACTTAAATACACATCCAAAGATTGTCACATTTCAAGAAATCTTGTTTGTCTGTTTACAGGACTGTAATGTGGGCAAGGGCTCTTAAATTTCCATAGAAAACAACGTCATTCCTTTGATCATTCAGCCGGCGGTCCATCAAACGTAATTCTACCACAATAAACAAATTAAAATATGCAGTATGTATGCAAATGAAAAAAGTAGTATTTTCACACACTAAACTGAATAGTTGTACAGGTTTAATCAATCTGTGACGCTCCATACTCGGGACATAACACCACCGTACCCTGTGATTAATCCACAAGGCACAAAGCTAAATGGATTTAAATTCCATCAAGTATCAAATACAATTCATCTACATAGTCAAACATTTTCTTTACAACTACGGGAGATTTCATTTCACAAGTTCACTAAGGATCCAACCTAATACGAATATATAATCAACCACCTTGAAGTACTTACATAACTAAGCAAATGTCGAAAATCAAATATAAATTTCCATTTTTTTTTATTGCAATCATCTCTCCATTAGATTCAAAGTCTAAACACCTCTTTCAATGCTATAATCTCTGCAAAATGATAATAAATGGAGTGAATAACAATTTGTTCAGTAAGTAGCACATGTACTTTCTTATTGGCATGAACACATTAGTATATGTAATACCGTGCATAATAATCCCTCATATTTCTAACTTTCAACATTCAACCACCAATGTTTCTATATGCCTCTCCAAAACCCGAGGGGCTTGGGTATTGTACTCCCTATGTACTGGTGATTTATGCTTTCATTTGTGGACTAGTCGTGATGTTGTTAAATGTTGATTTAACTGTAATGTTATTGAAATATTGTTCTTATAATTGTGGATTAGTTTATAAGAATTTTTAAAAAAAAGGTACACTAGTATCATTATAATAATTGACAGGGCAATTACACTATATAATTTTATACAACAAGTGTACGCACCAAACAACAAATTTTTTCTCTAGAATAGCAATATCCAAACACTTTATTAGGTTCGCATTGAAAGGTGTGTTTTAATATGTTGTAATCATTGTGTACATTTTTTAGTTTATCTTAGTATTTACACTTTGTCATTTCAATGAATAAGCTGCTAAATCAATGTAGACATTGACTTATATATGGGCCTCTTTGGTGGACTGTTTTGAGTTTTTCTCTTGAGTAAATTGCTTACTTTTTCGTGTGACAAATAAGTAGTTTCTGGCGGTTCTGTAGTTACTAGCCAAAAAAATTTTCTATCTATATGTGTTTTGGGAATTACTATAAATGTTATCGAAAAAAAAAGTAATGGCATACTACAAGATACACATAAGGAGGCCCTATAGACATACAGAGAAAGTGAGAGAGCGTTGTTGAACGAGAGTGACGTTATACTCATAATAGAAGAAGGGTTTTCTCATAGTTGACATATATTTGGTAATTAAATTGAATCATGTTAAATCTTATTCATGTTGTGTTTCATTAAATTATTATATTGTTGATTTCACACTAATAATTTATTCCATGTCTGGATACCTAACATTTTCTTCATTAAACTCTCTACTGAATTCTTCTTGGCTATCGTATATGATTTTTTCAACCTGCAAGTACTATTCTTAAAGTATATGAATCAAAGTTCTTATCATGAAAATTTCGACTTTAATCTTGGGAGCAGAGTTCCTTTTCTTGTTTTCCAATCGAAACCAGACATACTGATACCATGAGGGCTTGAGCCCTAGATCTAACATCATTCCTGTCATACTACTATGTAGAACTAGGGGGTGCTTGTTCTGTCATTCAAGCAACAGAAGGAGTAATGTCGTTACTGCCTTGCATAGTCCAGTGCCAATCGATATGTGAAGAGATTTGGAAAAATCAAGAAAATCAAAAACTAAAAAAAGAAATAAAATAGTCAAAAAGAAAAAAAAAATAAAACTCAAGTTCTTAAAGTTTTTTTTAGAGTTTTAGTTTAATCCGTTTCATGTGGGATCTAACCAATTCTCCACTCAATAATTTTTTAGGTAAACTCGAATGGAACACCTATTGAATTCCTGATTAAATCAAAGGGAGTTGGGGGTATATGAATGACCCCTTGTAGCAATTAGGAATTGGATGGTCAAATTATCTCTTTGAAATGCACAATTGCAGTTGGACAAGTAGTCTTTAGTTACGAAGTCATTTCACAATAAGTAGACGGAGAAAAAGATTGCGTGGGGGCAAGCCAATCATTGATCAAACGACTTGATTGTTGAATTGGGCATATGAGACAAAGTGATAATATATGTGCTATTCGTTTAAACCAGCAAGCCTCCATATCATCTTGTGAATTTTGATCATGTCAATTGTAAATGGCATGTACGGTACTACGTATTAGAGGATCTGTAAGAATCACTGTAAATTATAAGAATATTAATGAAAAATTAATTGTACATATCATAAACTGCACAGTCTAACTAATTGAATTGTACACATGCAATCAAATAAAGAAACTAGAGCTCTCGAAAATCCTCCTGCAAGAAAAGGTAACAAGATTCAGAAGCACTTGACATTTGATTCACATCTACAAAAGACTCATTCTTGCATCCCAATGAAGCAACCTATGATTGGTTGAACTCTTGCTGATAAATTGAAGGCCATAATAATTAACCCCAAAGGGGGATCGTTTGTCATTGACTTGTTGAAGTTTCGACATGTAACTTTATATCACATGGCCTAAAACTTCAGGGTCTTCAGAAATAAACAAAAGGGGTAATTTCAATTTCATCAAAACAACAAGAACTTTCTCATAACTGCACTTCTATCTGGACCCATGGAGGGATATTTCCAATTAATTGTGCATTTGTAAGAGTTGATCAAAATCATTCCAAAATGTTTTGGCTGAACAAGGATGGTACCATTTAATTCATTGGCTTAAACAAGCTTGATACCTTTTTTTTTTTTTTTTGTGCCCCTTTTGGGATGTCAGGCATTGCGTTAAAGGTTAACATGTCTTAAAAGAAAGTTACAGCAAAGTATAAAATCCATAACAATCCAGGGAAAATACAAACTTCCACTACCAATTGCCAAGAGAATCAACTATCTGTGCAATCTAGTTTGTGGTTTTACCTGAATACAACATATCCACTCAGTTGAGCGCTACAAATTTTGCATTTTCCCGTCATATTCTATGACTGCTGAATGTCTTGTCAACAAGAGTAGCTCCAGCAGATTATCTCAATTTAGCTACTATAACTATGCTTCTTTCTTTGATTCATAGAAGATTTAATGGTGTAATTGAACAGATTCGTGCACCCTATGGTGGAATCCATTGCACCAGAAATTCTATTATGCAGAATTTGAGCAGTTATAAGCACAAAAGATTTGTTTCAGTGGTCAGAGGCTTCTGACATCGAAGAAACAAAGGCTTCATTTCCATCTACAATAATCTCATCAGGCCTGATGCTTCTTCCTTTGAGGAAATTGGAGTACCAATGTGCAGAGAGCTTTGGGTATCTCCTCAACTGCTTGTCATCCAAGTCCACGTAGTACAGGCCATAACCTGTCTGGTAGCCACCAAGTAACTCCAAACCATCTAAGAAAGACCACAGGAAGTAGCCTTTTGTGTTGGATCCGTTTCTTCCGACATTGCAAGAGGAAAGACCAGAACAGGTCAGGAATGTTAACCAGTAAAATTGTAATTTATGCAGTAAATCGTAAGGCATTAGACAGAACGTGCAAAAAACACTCAAAAGTACATATCAGCACATGCTTACTTTATAGCGTCGAGCAAGGCTCCGATATATGAATGCACATATTTCACCCTCGGTGTGTCAATTAGTGTTCCATTACGCTCCATTCCTTTACCTATTAAAACCAGTCAATCAGTCTCCAAAGAGATTCTAAGACGTTAAACTATGAGCTATATATGTTCAAACATCTTTAGATCATAATTTGATCAGGTGACAGATACAAATTAATGCAGACTCCAATAGCAAGGAAAAGAAAATGCGCCAGTAAAAGAGCATCCCGAGCTTCAAAGTCAAAATACCACACTTGCATTTTTGGTGGCTGAACCTTAGAGAGTTGCAACCAAGCATACACATTCCAGAATGGGGAACCATTCAAAAGGAAATGAAAGTTCTCAAGCAATATATACACAGGAGGTTTGATTAGGTCGGCAGATTTCTAGCAATTGCACATCCTTGGTGAGGTAGCAGAGGCAAATGTGTTTTTTTGTGTGTGTGCGTGCACGTGCATGAGAGAGAGAGAGAGAGAGAGAACCATTCTCTTGGATATAAATAGGTGGATTGGCATAAACTTTCTTGAGATACTCCAGAATTGCAAAAAGACTGGATGATTCAACTTCATCCTGTGCCAAATAAGATGGTTAATAACAGGGACCAAAAATGATGAACAGAAAATCATGGAATTCAATTCCTCATGCCAACCTGATCCGTTGTTGCATCTTCTGGCTCTACTAAAGAAACCAAAACATATAAAGCAATTAGTTCAATTCAACAACAATATAGAGCGATAAACGTCATCAGAGAGATAGAGACCTTGACAAAAGAGAAGCATTAAGGACAGTAAAATGAAACTAAAGCTGTGGACAAGTTCTCAAAGAACTCACAAACAGAGGAACTAAAAAAGGCTTTTCAAAAGGGGTACAGGTACTTGATTCACTAGGCAAAATGAAATTCAGTAAGAAAAAAGTAATTCAAGCTTGCGAAAAAACGATCACATACAGAAGATGCTTACTGCCATATCGGCAGTTATGTCCCTGATGTTCCTACTAAGGTTGCTGGGATTGTCCTTGACATAGAATATGAAATAATGATTCAGCCCTATAAAGTCAATGGAGCCCTTGATTAGCTTAGATTCACGCGGAGTGAGTGTTGGAATCCTCTTGCCAGCATTCTTCTTTATAATGTCAGGATAGTCTCCAAACACCAATGGATGGAGAAACCTGCAGTCGAATTGTGGATAAACCATAAAATGAGCTTATCTTTTTGCTTTAAGTAGCAAAGGAAAGAAGTTATCTTGCTGCTTGCCAGGGATGACGAAATGCATAGTGAAGAAACTCACCAACCAATATAATAATCGATGGCTCTTTTTGTTGCAATTACATCTGCTACAGCTTTGCTATATGGAGAAAACCAAGGAGCATAGAGGTTTAGTCCCACAAAACCACGTTGAATGGCCTGCACACAGACATAAATTTCTGTTGTATGACTTGCTTCCCATCATGTTTTCCCAGATATGAAGATCAACAAAAGACCACCATCAGAACTTTAAAGAGATGCATCAATGTCAATCTTATAACTCCAATCCTATTTTTGGCTGATGCAAGATTGGAAATTTTTGGTCAGGCTGCATCATACCCTATATGTTAGTAGGGGTGGCAGCTAGGGGCTCACCAATAGGATTGCCTATCCATTCCCAGGCCTATTAAGCTACCCTTTTTACTAATCCCTAATGGTAAACTATAGAGTATTTGATCTCTATCCAAACTTATTCTCCTTTCTTGCAGTTCCACCAAGTCCTCACAGCACTTGTGAGTTGCGACTAGCGACTAGGCATTTTTTCTACGAGACTTATGGAAACAGACAGAATATTGTCATTCCAATTTCCAGCTTAAAGCAAATTGTTATTTCCAGAATTGAATCCAAAATTGGTGACAAATATGTTTAGAAACAAGCCCTTCCAACGCAACTGGCTACACAAGAGTCAGAATGTAGCACAAAAGACTCGTAATAGCCACTCTTTGGTAGGATATATGTAATTGAAGATACTTGTAATATGCTAGATGATGTAAATGTCGAACAATTAAACTACAAAAGCAAATTCCAGGTGCAAGTGCAACTCTAGATACTAGTAGTTAAAAAGCCAGTGGCTCAGAGCATCAGTACCGGGTTGGAAAGAACTAGCACGTTTCCATCCCTATCTCTATAAATGGGAAATGAATTATCATCTAACTCTGTACAATCATCTCAAGCACTTCCAGTTAGCACAACTAACTAATAGTACCATAGTAGTTCTCCTCTGTGCATGCAGAGATGTATATGGTTGCACTTAGAATTTTTCAAGAACCAAAAGCTTACTAAGATCAATGTGACAAAAATCAAGTGCCCACCATTGAAGTAGAACTAGGTAGTAAAACACTAGATTATGTGAGAAAAATATGAAATGCTATATCATAGTACTACCTTATACTTTGCGTAGTATAGTTTCACAACAGACGAATGTGCCAGCAACATGTTGTGACCAGCAATATATGGTTCAGTTGAAGAATCACCCTCGGTACACGTCAGTCCAAATGGCGGAGAGCAACGTCCTGGGGGAGCAAGTCCATTATCATAACCACCTATGGCAAATACATTGGCCTCGTTTATAGTAGTCCAGTGCAGAACCCTGTCCCCAAACTCCTTGAAGCACAGATCCGCATAGGCAGTAAAGTCTCTCCTGAACACAAGTAATAACTGTTAAGATTTAATCACATAATATGCGCATATAGTTCACCATGCAAACCATATACGAAACAGAGCTCGATCAAAATGACAAAAATCAAATGCTTACACCATTTTCCGACTAAGCCACCCCCCATATTCATCTTCAAGAGCTTGAGGATTATCAAGGTGAACCAGCGTGACATGTGGTTGAATTCCTGTGTGTCATCCGACAGTAATGATGTCAAAACATAAAAACCGTTAAAATGAAAATAAACTCAGATAGAATGTCAACAGCATAGGGGAAGTTTATGTCCGTGCTCTTGTAAGACAAAGATTTGTCAATATCATCCCATTTATGGAACAGTTCACACAAACAGGTTGTTCATTAAGTGCTTACTTATCAAACAGAATAAACCTACCATGCATGAGGAGTTCATTAATGAGATTGTTGTAATATTCTAATCCCTTGGGGTTGACATGGCCTCTTCCATCTGAAAAGAGAAAAGACAAAACAGAGTATGAGAAGAAAGAAACAAAATATGCAGTAGTATTGCAAAGGTAGTACAGTAGAATTAAACATACTAGGGATAAGTCTTGACCAGGAAATAGAGAATCTGTAAGCCTCCAAACCTGTTTCAACCATGCGCTGGACATCATCCTGAAACAGATAAATTTCCTAGAGTGAACTGCATTAAGATTTCATCGTGGCGAAATCATGTATCTTCACACAAACTCGGCCGAGTCATAACCGGAACAGAGGGACCGGTACAATACCGATCACCGAATTGTGGATAATTTAATATCCACAACGATTTGCTTTGACTTGACCGATATTGACTGATTCGAATCTGCGATACATACAATTGGCCAAAATATCATAGTCAACTCGGATATTTTTTTTAGATTCCGCCTTTTATGGTATTTTTTATTTTTAGTAATTTTTTCAGATTTTTTAGAAATTTTAGTATGTTATAACGTGCGTATCACCCTGTATCCAACCGATATTCCGTGACACGACTGCGACCCACGACGACGAACTAAGATCTTAATATTAAACAAAATACATGATTTCGCCACTTGCTATCCGCAATCTTTGTGCTAATTGTAAGAAGATTCGAGTAGCAGGCTACTGAGATCCAGGTATCTCAGAATGTACTATCTCTCAGCCAACAAATGCATTCAAGCAGCAGGACACTGGAGCAGAATTCAATACTAGAGCAGAATGTTTACGGGTACCTCTGGATGGAATCTGGAATGGCCTGCATCTTTGAACATTCAGTCTGATAAGCAGTGATGATAGTTGCAGCAGGTTGTTTTGGTTTTCTTAATAAGTTTTTTGTTTGGGTGCATGTTCTTCTGATGCAATGACCAGCTATGCTGCCGGTAACTTTCGGGTCGCTTATCAATAAAGGAACTATTAGAATTGCCTAAAGATTATAGTTATTGGTTTTCAGTTGTAACTGTATACAAAGTTGAGATTCAGATGCTGCATCTGCTTGAAATAGAAGGTAGAAGACCAGCTCACCGACCAAGTCATAAAGGCGAGAACTACTTTAGATTCCTTATTCAGTTTTGTAGGGAGAAGGGACATTGAGAGATAAAAATTTGATCCATTTTCTTGTACTAGTTGCAGTTACTATTGGCATATATCTAGTAGCCAATTCTATCCCACTATCTCTGCTTAAGCGTTACTTCTGGTGGTAGTTGGAAAATTTGAGTGTCTTAAAGCTTCTACCCTTACAATCTACTGCTAAAATCACTTTCATAGGTGATCAATAATACATTAGGAATAATACAAATCATTCAGAGTTTCTAAACCTTTTGATCTTTTAATCTCCCTCACACAAAATTCATTTTGGGATGTGATAACCATTTACTGTCTCTAGTGAAGACCCGAATTTGGCACATTAGTTAAACTAAGTTTGGCTACTGAAGTTGCAATTGCATCAGTATGCCTGAAACCTAAAAGGCAGGAAAGATATATCTACCTTGTATTTGTGATAGTGGTCACATGCTATGTCTCCTGTGGCTCCATTAGATAGACCTGATCATTTTATTCAAGAGTAAAAGTTTTACATACATAGATGATAAAAATTAGAGCACAAAAAATAAAATTTTCTCAAAACAAACATACCTTTATTGGCATGGGTATAGGTATCCCAAATGCTAGGAGTCCTTCCATCATCAAGAGCTGCTCCCTCTACCTATATATACGTATTATATGATCATAAATTTACTGAGTTCATGTTACTATATTTAATCATGTACAAGAAAATGAAACACAGAGAGTAATCAGAGTATTGACTTGATATGAGGCAGTGCCAGCGCCAAAAACAAAGTCAGCTGGGAAGTCTGATCTTGTATAATTCTCCACTCTGGCTACTACCATTACAGCCAGAGACTGCAACAACATTAGCACCATTAGTACTAGAATCAATGGAGCAGAAGTAAAATACATTAGACTCCTCTGTTTCTGTTTCAACATGGTGACTAAATTCCAGAGATTGTTAGTCTGCTGTTTCATATTTCCATTTGTGGGCTTGATTTATTTTCTTTGTTGACTTAAATACACATTCAATCGTTCTCAGAACTACGAGAAATCTCATTTGGCCGTTTATAAGACAGAAAAGTGGATACTGGCAACAACGTCATTGCTTTGATCATTCAGCGACCAAGTGTAATTTTACCACAATAATCAAACGAAATCTACAGTACACAAATGAAATATGTGGTATTTTTGGGAAAATTTGGAAGAAGGGAATAAGGAAAAGTGGAAATTTATAAATATGCTGTAAGTTATGTATTAATATTCATATTTCGTAAACTGTAAAAATATTTTTGCTGCATGCAAAATTACAAATTTACTCTCATGTGCACATACATACATTCATACATACATATGTGGGCGCGCATATTTTGATATGCACTGATGTTCACCAAAATATACATTTTTTATTCGTTAAGGCACACATTTGTATTCAATAGAGTGCACTGTTACGAGAGAAGAATTATACATTTATTAATTATTTAACTAGTAAATAGTAACCCATACTCCATTCACAAATTTCTTAATACTTACACTGTACTTGTAAATTTTCAATCTTCATATTACATTTTTCCAAGTTTTACCTAGTGTTTTTGCAAACTAAACTCCATAAATATGAGTTTAATCTTGTGTGTGTTACTGCTTATCTCACTATTTTTGAGTTAGTTATAATGTTAATGTATTGTGAATTGATAGTACTCAGGGGCGGATTTAAAGGAGGGCACTGGGGCCCTTAAATTCCTATAATACATTTACAATTTTGACATAATTTTAAATGTGCCTCCAGAATTTTTTTTAGAAAAAATATGAAAGAATGGGTCACAAAATTTATATCATTCACTTTCCTCCTCTAGTCCCCATTTTCTCCCCAACAGGGCCAAGTACCAATTATATCAGTCATTCCTTTTGATCCCCACTCCCCAAGTTCCCTTTACTCCTGTGGTCCTCCATTTCCCTTCACAACCCGGCTCCTCTTCTTCCACACCCAAGCCAACTACTCTTTCTTTTTATCACTTCATCCAATTATCATTTACTTCCTTTGTCCCCACTCCCCAATTTCCCTTTCCTCCTCTGGCTCTCGGTTGTCCTCACTCCCCAACATACATACGAGAGCCACTTTTTCTTCCACAACCAAAGCTTGTTACTCTTTCTGTTGATCACTTCATCCGATTTAGAGATTGCATCAGAATCAATTGATCTTCTAAGACCTGGGTCCCGCACATTTTGCAGCTCTTTTCACCAACTTTAGGAGACCATCAAAATCAGGTTCTAAACAATTACTTCTTATTATTATTATTTTAAATTTGTTTGCAAATATATTTCTAGAGCATGAGACTATTATTGTTTTAAAGAAATTTGAAAATTGATTAGTTAATGTAATAACTAATAAATGGGTTATTTGATAAATATTTTAACTTGTGAAATGGTGATTTTATGCATGAGACTTTTTTTTTTTTGCTTAAAAAATTAGAAAAAGAATAGATAAAAAATTTTAGTGTTATTTTTGCCCCCACTAAGATTTTTTTCTGGCTCCGCCCCTGATGGTATTGTTGAATTGTAATGTGATTGTATTGATGTTACAATTGTGGGTTAGTTTATAAGGAAAAATAGATTACAATCTATTACCACATGCCCTGCAAGTATGGTATAATTATATGATACAACGTTTGAATTAATACGATAGATATTGATGCTAAACTATAAAGGTAAACATTAGAACGTGAACATATGCACACCGTATACAAGTTGTTCTTTTGCAATTTGATCATTTTGTCTATATTACTCTCGTGCCCATATTCATACTAGTTTATGCTAATAACAAAGCATGACTTAATCATAAGAAGCTTCACTTGTAACCGAAAAATCACAAGATCGAATCATCACAAGAGTAAATAGAGAATCATTGTTAATCTTCTTTTTTTTTAAAAAAAAAATAGTGTATGCTTTGTATGCTGCAATTATCACTAATAATAACAGAGACCCTGAATCCACATGCATGGGCATACCAAAAATTAGAAAAAAAAATTCTAAAACTTAATTAAGCAAGTCCGATGCCCGCTCCACTTAACTAAAAATTGATTAAAAGCATAATTTTACTTAATTAGGTTTTTAAATTAAAAACTTAATTAAAAAAAACTCTTAAACTGAAAACATACCCTATGCCCACTAAAGTTATGAAATCTCAAATTTCTATATAATATAAAATTAGATAGGTGTCAACTTTTGATGTGATGATGGGTTGCACAACCTAGTGCATTGGACAAATTGAAACTGGCTTTGAAGATTACTTCCTAAGCTCATCCTGAACCTTCCAGTCGTTGTTATGCTTCACATCACAGAGATGTTGATCAGTAGGAAAACTAAGAATGCAAAGGCAAATTTACTATCGTTATGAAAAGGACAATGCTTTAACAAAACAACGCATTGAAAAAAGAAACCAATCCAGGAGCCATCCCTGTATACCCATAGATAACTGTATATTTTTTTCTACATTTTTTGTCTCTTTGTTTTTTGGTAATTGACAACACTACATTTTTGTCTACATCATGTATACAAATTTTTTATGGCTTTGGTCAATATTTCGTGTCGTATACAAATTGAACTGAGCCTGCAAAATTCAAGTTTCTTAATCTAAATGCTCGACAAAGTTTCCTCGTGATATTGTATACTCTGGCATAAGTTAGACCTTGTTTGAAAAGCTATTTCCTTTCAAAAAAATTTTAATTTTTTGTAAATACATTTTTCAATCATCTTTTTATTTCATATAAATCAAATCGCTATAATATTTTTTTTTCTCTTGGAATGTTGGACCAATATACCTTGCATAATATGGTCGTTCGTGGTTATGGATTCAAAGTTTTCGCCCTGTGTAGTTGGATAATATCACCACAAATGTTCGTGGTCGTGCTCTTCTCTCCCATTGTCACTTGGCGAATTCTGAAGTTTTTTCCATCATGTGCCTAGTTCTCATCATATCAGACTTTTTGTTGGTCGTCATTTTCACGGAAAAGACAGTGATAATATTTTTGTCAAGAATATGCGATTTGTATCCTGTATTTGCCGGCTCCATTTATCCCACTAAAATAGTAGTAATAAATTAGCCTTACATGAAATGAAGCGTGAGATACTTGCCTAGTCCTTCTGACCATATGAATGTGACATGTGGGTCATTTATCTAAATTGTGCCTAACTATTTCAAGAAATACATTTTTCGTCCCCCAACATTGAAAGCAATAAAAATCATCCCTTACATTTTGAAAACATACCAATTTCATCCCAGAATCCAATTCCGATTGACCTTCAGGTGCAGTATAGGAAGATAAAATTCTTCCCTTCTGTAAGTAGAAGAGAAATTGACTTACTTTGTCTCTAAAATTTAAAAAAAAAAAACGCATATTTTTCTCGTCCCCTTCATTCAAAATGATGCAAAACTATGGCATCTTGAGAACACACCAACTTTCTCACAAATCAAAGTTTCATCAACTTTTATGGTGAGGGTCGCACTTTTGGTATGTCTATATTATTTTAGGGTTTCTCTCAAATGTACTATAAATAAAATATTTATGTTAATTTATAAGAAAAAAAAAGGGTTTCAGCCTGTTTTAGCTTAAACAAACGGATGATACCTCAAACATGAGGGGAGATACAGCAAGCCACATTGGAGATGAATTTAATTCTACCAGAGGGTATGTTCAAGTTAACTATTGTCGCCTTACGCATAAGATACTAGCTTTGCCATAATATACATCCATGTAGTTATACGTATATATATATATATATATATATATATATATATATATATGTTGCGGCATTTGTTGCACAATGAGCTTGCATTAAACTTTTGAAATCTAGAAAAAAAAAAAACTGCAAAACAGAAAGTAAGGTTTCTTAAGTACGAAGCAGCATAGAAGAAAGTAAAAAATAGAAGGGGATAATCTGATGATCATGTCGATCATGTATCATCTTCCATATTTACTTAAGAAGGAAGAATCAACCTTGCACAATACATGAATGAAATAAAAGATTCTTTCAAAAGAAAAATAGAAGTGTTGAAAACTTGGCAAGCATAAAGTTTGAAATGTCTTCTTGCTAAATTTGATTACTCGTTAGTAAACTTCCATTTTCCAATGTTCACCTAACACATTTAGACTCTTAATTTGTCAACATTCTATTGTTGTAAACACCAATAGCATTAAGTTAGCCAATTTACCCACCCTCCCTCCCCCCCCCCTTCCACCCCTTAAAAAAAAACTCAAAAATAACAGTAGAAAAAGTTACAAATGACTGTGATCTACATCTTTAAAAAATTATTTCTTCGACCCTTAATATAATTATAAAAAATGAATAATCTTTTAATCGAATCTTAGGACAAGTACCCTTTCATAGAAAGTGCTACCTTCAATCAACATCTCGTAGCAAAGAAAAAAGAAATGTCATAGTAAAATGTTGATTCTCATTTCAAAAGGTCTAAACTGCATTGCACTGAGGGAATTGACCATTTGAAATCAGTCTTGTAAGAACAAAATAAGTACTCTTAGGCCGTTTTCTGAAATAGTTGCCATGGTAAAACGTCTTGCACCAACTGTTTGATTGGGTGTAAAATATTTTCCCTGGAAAATATTTTCCAAAGAAAATTTTTTCAGAGAAAATAAATGCTTTCCTATTCATTTTCTGGTGTTTGGTTGACTATTTTGGCCTCCTAGAAGTTTAAACCTGTAAGATCCCGAATATCCAACCCACAGCAACACCTTGCGTCCCAGTGCTTGCGTCCCAGTATACGTTTTGTTCCGTCATGCCAGCCAAGCTGCCTGCCATCCGTATTCTTTTTTCCCCTTGTTACCACAGTTGCAAAAACCTCCTCCTAGTACCACTATCACCACCATTGCCACCACTTCCTCCTTGCCAGCCCCAGCACCATCCCTGCCGCATCCTCACGGCAAAAGAAATTTATCATCAATGGGGAAGTCTTAT